TTCCATTTTTAACCTAAACAGGTTGAAAATTTTATAAAATATTTCTCAAATCAATTTTAGTAAACACATATTCACTATCTTTATATATCTGGAATAAACCTTACTTTGATGTAATGTATTATTATTAATTTAATATAATGCTGGCCCATTTGATAATATTTTAAGATTTTTGCATCTTCTAAATTATACAAGTGATATTGCCATATAATTTCCTTTCCTTTCAATATTATTTAGATTAACCTGCGCATTTACCAAATTCTTTATTCACCATTGCTTTTTGAATCCCCCACTCTATCTTTATAGTTCAATTTCTCCCTAAGAAAATACATCCTTTACTGTGTGTGTGTGTGTGTGTGTGTGTGTGTGTGAGAGAGAGAGAGAGAGAGAGAGAGATGTTTTGAGAGTAATAAACGCTTTTAGCCTTTGTTTGAAAGTGTCCATTTTGTCTTCGCTTTTGAATGATGACTTTTGCTGGGTATAAAATTCTAGGTTGAAAGTATTTCCCCTCAATTTTTTTTTTTTTTTGGTATATTCCATTGCTTTCTGGACTCTGCTGTTTCTGATAAGATGCCTTTTGTCAGTCTAAATATAGTTCTGATATAAATAATGTGTCATTTTTCTGTTTCCTTTAAGATTTTCTCATTGTTTGTTATTCTGTAGTTTCACCACATTGTGTCTAGGTGATTTTTTAAAGAAAAATTTTGCTCAAGGTTGAGTTTACTTCTTCAGTATATAGACTTACGTTTTTCTCCAATTCCGGTCAGTCCTTCTGGAAATCCTATTATGCTTATGTGCTTTTTTCATTCTATTCTCCAAGTTTTTAAAATTTCTCTTTCATATTTTCTTCCACTTAACTCTCTGTGCTTCATTCTCGGTATTTTCTAAATACAATTTCTACTTCCATAATTTTCTCTCTTGCTGTTAAACCTGCTGCAGTAATACAGTTCTGGTAGGTCAGTCAGGGGGTTCGAACGCCTGAGAAACTGGCCCTGGGAATTTATCTTTATTGTGAGGTTGTTACCAGTCACCTGTACCAGGTGGGCAGACAGGCACATGTCTAGAATCTTTAGAGAGTCCCTTGCTAGTCAAGCGAGGTCCACAGAACTGCAGCATCAGTGCCATCTGGGAACTGGTTAGAAATGCAGAATCTCAGGCCCTACCACAGACCTACTGAATCAGGGTCTGCATTTTAATAAGATCTCCGGTGATTCCTAGGCACATGGAAGCTTGGGGAGCACTGCTCCAGAGCATGGCTGTTTGTGACTTTTTGTCACTGGTCTGAGATGAGATTAAGTGAAAAAAGGAGAGAGAGCATTTAGAAAGTTTTATCATCTTTTGCCAAAGTAATTTTATGACTTTTGAATCTAATGATAAATACTTTGGGCTTGTAGTTGATGTATCTTTGTTTCTTATTTCATTTCTCTAAGAATCTGTTTTATTGCATCTGCCCTAATGAAACAACTTGTTGGGCAGTTGGGGGCCCTTATCAGCACTTGATATGCGGAAGCCTAGCCCCACACTGGGATGGCTCCTGGGCTTGGGGCTCCCTCCAGCCAGATGTCATCTGTGGTGACATTCTTGTAGCCTGTAACTACAAAAAATGAACTTACATGTTCTGCCTGTTTTGTGAGCAATTCCACATCAACTACTATAACTTTCTGAAAACCACCTTGATTTTTAATTTCAATGGCTATATTTTTTAATTTCTGAAAGTTCTATTTAGTTATTTTTCAAATTAGTAAATTTATTTTCTTTCCCTATTGTGCACTAGTCTTTTAAACAGACTATTTTTAAGCCATAGGAGTCTTCCAGGTCATCTTATTTTTGTGTTTTGTTTTGGAGCACCATTTCCCTGTTTGTTGTATATGCTGTTCTTCTCTCACATGTTTCATTTCTGTTTGTTGCTTACGAATTTTAATCTAAGCAAAAATTATTCTGTGGGATTCCTGTGCCCCTGGGGTGTGGATGTCACTCTAGAGTATAGTTTTGCACTTGATCTTCTGCTGGGCCCCAGAAATTTCAGTCCTAAACTAGTTTTTTCTTAGTTTGGTGGGGGATTCACTCCCTTGTGGGTAGGGAAAATTCAGACTCCACGTGCACATTTGATGCAGACTTGGGATTATTATTTCTTTGGGGAGATTTTTTTTTTTTTTTTTTGCCTCCATCCCAGAACTTGGACAGAGAGCAGGCTTCCTCACCACTTCTCTGAGCGGGCTGGTGGAGCTCTTCAGTCACCTGTCATAGCCTGTGCAAACCTTTAAGAATTCCAGCTTTGTGCAGATATTTCACTCCTCACATAGGCTCAAGGCCCTGTCTCTCATCCTTGCACAGGGATTAAAATGAGAGTCCCCACCCTTAGGAGTATATCCAAGTGTAAACCCCTTTGGCTGTAGTGTGGTGAGCAGTAGTCTACCGCTCTGACTTTGAACATCTTCTATGTTACAAGTGTGGGGGATCAGAATTGGCCACCCCAAAATGTGTCTCTTTGCTCTGATTATTTTTAAGGACAAAAGACTCTGGAAGAAACTTTGACTTTCCCCCTAACTGCCTAAAAGTATTTAAGATAGAAGTCCTGTTACAGGAAGGAGCTAATACCATAAGACAACTATAGTATAATGTAAAATAGGTGTGATAGACAGAAAGGTACCAGCAAGCCCATTTTTATCAAAGTTCTGTCTCTTGGGTCACATTGTCCATAACCGGCCCAGCAAACACTTGTTTAACAAACATTTGCATTTCCAACTCCATATAAATGGTCTTCCTTCCCTTTGAAGTCCCAAACCACTATCGCCAGCATCCTCCATTGTCTTTAGCTGAAGATGGTTAAGGTGGTGGCTTTGGCCATTCTGGCGAGTTACTCAGCTTTCCTGGGTTTCTCCCACGTATACATGTTATAAAGCTTTGTTTGATTTTCTCCTGTTATTCTGCCTCATGTCAATTTAATATCTGGACCAGTCAGAAGGACCTAGAGGGTGGAGGAATTGTCTTCTTCCCCTACATAGGCACTTTAAAAAAAATCTTTAATTCACCACATTGATGTAATGGGAGAAGATTCTGCACTTGCTCAATCCTCTATGTTGATGGAATTGGAAGTCTGAACATTTATCTATCTCTAACTGTTCCTTGAAAGCTTTTGTCTCCTAATTTCAGGCAAGAGTGAGCTGGGCAGGCCCAGAGTGTTCTTTCTTGCCTCTGTGTTGAATCCCACTACGTTGAATGCTTTGCCCTTTGGAACGTGTTTTGGGCAGATACCAGGAAGGGCTGGGTCAGAGGGGATAACAGGAAGACTGTGCTGTCCCCTCATGTTACCTTTCTTCCTCGTCCCTACCCCCTGCTCAAAGTTCCTCTCTCTCTGAGACCCCCAGTGCAGGTGGAGACTCAAGAGATGTCTGGGGGCAGAAGCTTACAAAGAAGCACTTAACTCTGAAGCTGTCTTTTCGCGGCACTTCTGGGAGCATCTCTGAGGAAAAGACAACACCAACCATTGGGGAATAAGATCTAGAACCTTTATCTTAGATATAAGGTGTGCGAGCAGAGGAGCATACTGCTCACGATGCTATCAAGGCTTATGTGTTATCAGGAGGAAAGCTCTATCCCACCTTGGTTTGAGACATGAGAGAAATAAGAAACCAACCAACCAACCAGCTTAAGATTAGTTTGACTGTGTAAAAGTAAAGCTATCAACATGCCTGCTTACCGTTTGACCTCAATTTCCATGTCACACCATAGCAATTGTGTGTATCATAAAACATGCCACATTGACTCTGTTCCACTTGATAAGAACCAACATTAGAACTCTGCTTGCGCACATGTGGCCCTCACCATTCAGCCCCCCACCCCCCGCCCACCCCAAATGCTCGGCTCTCGCATCATTGCCATCTGATGCCATCAGAAGGAACTTTAGTTGTTAGGTCTCCCTCATACCCCAAACATTATAAACCCCAAACATATATGTCCCAAATCAGGAACATTTGAACGAAGAAATTTTTCCTAAGTTCAAGTCTGTCCCTGCAGTTACTCTAGAAAAGTAAACAATAAGATGCGGGCACAATTTATGTACAGCTGCAAGAACTGGAAAGAGAATGAACTTGGGCTTTTGAAAGTTAACCTCCACAAGCCCATTTCTCCCATGTCCCTTTATCTCTGTCCCTCTCTGCATTCAGCAATTGTTCCACTTAGTATAGTTAGTACAGTTCCTTGTCAAAGGAAATGAAGTAAAGATATTTTAACCTCTTAATGACCAGAATTGTTAAAACAATAACAACGGCTAAAACCAACAACAAAAAAAATGAGCCAGTCCTGTTTCTGGGGGGAGCAACTTGCCTTCTATTTTCCTCCTTAATTCTTTCACTCTTGGAAATGAGAATAGCAGGCTACCCAGTTGCTAAACCTCATGGTTAGGGGGAATTTCAATAATTCATGAATCCCATGGAAGTGGACTTTGCTGTAATACACAGCAATAGCAGGCCCCTCTCCCCTCCAACTCCCTCTGCATTACATCCTAAGTTAGAATGTCAGCCTCATTTTTCATTTCATTCAAAGTGACAGAAGAAAAAAAAAAAAGGATACTTTAAGGCCTAATCAGGTACTGTACCGGTGTTCGGAGCGATGAAAACACCCGCAGATTACTCCAGTGGGGTTGTCAGCTCTATTGTTAGCATAGTCAAGTGGCCCTACAGAAAGGAGACAGGAGCGCTAAGAGAAAATAGGAGAATTCTAATCTGCTTTTTAAAGGCCCTTGGTCAGAAGTATAGCAATTCAGACACCCCTGTTTGAAAGCAGCGGGACAGATTTGTTAGAAGACAAAGGCTCCAATTAGTATTTTCCACACCCTTTCACAATTTTCTCTCCTGCTTCTGGCTCTGAGCCCCTTTATGCCGGGGCCTTTGTGCCGGCGGAGGCGGTGGAGGCGCGGAGCCCGGGTCCTCCCGCCCTGGTCCAGCCCCGAGGGCGGCCCGGAGGAGGAGGGCGGCCCGGGGGAGGAGGGCGGCGGGCGCTACCTGCGTTGACGGAGACGCGGGCCTGGCGAATGACCACCTGCGGGGCGATGGGCACGGCGGGCTGCAGCCGGTGGAGGCCCTTGGCGACCCGCAGGAGCGGGCGGGAGGCGTCGAGCCCGTACAGCAGGCGGTCGCTCAGGAAGACGATGGCCGCGGCGGTGGCGCCGTCCCGGGCGCGGATGGAGGCTCTCAGGGCCGCCTGGGGGACAGGGGGACAAATGAGCGCATGAAATGGAAAGAAGGCCGTCCCGGGACCCAGCTTAGTCTTCTAGGTGTTTGTATCCAAACCAGGACAACCAAACCTCGAGCTAGAAGAGACAGGACTTAGGGGGCGACTGAACCACAAGGAGAAAAATAAGGAAAAGTCCAATGCAGTTGTGGGATAGAGTGGTATTTCTTTCATTCCAGTTTCTCCATTACATTTCTAAAATTATACAAGTGATAAATGCCTATTTCTTGATCTTAAAAAATCCAAACAACACAAAGTAAAAATTAAAAGTGCCCCTTAGATTCTCGCCTCTTTAACTTATTTTTTCCCCTCCTCTCCACTATCACTCTTCATGATAGTGGTTTTGGAGAGATCCTTCTAGAAACTTCTTCTACCCTTTTATGTATACTTAGAAATTAATTGATTCCTTGTCTTGCCTTCTCCCTCCCTTTCTCCTTTTCTCTCTCTCTCTCTCTCCTCCTCCTTCATAAAGGAGATTACACTAGCCCTAGTGTTCTGCTGCTTGGTTCTTTGAGTCATCCTAACATCTAGGAGAACTTCCCACATCAGTTCATAACACTCTGCTTCATTTATTGTCTGCATTTTACTTGAGAAGAAACATAGAATTTTAGGTAACATTTTAAATTTGATTTATATGATCATGTTTAGTTAATGAATAAAATAAGAAAAAGAAGGAAACAGACATGAAATGAAAGTGTAACATAATGAATGAGAAGTAGAGATAAATGAGGCAAACTTTGATGAAAGACATCATCTTTTGGTCTCTTAAGGTGTTATACCAGACATTCAAAGTCACGCAGCTAATAGTGTAAATGAGTTTACTACCCAGTAGTACTTTCTCGATTTGCTACACTAAATCAAGCAGAGTGTTTTCTGGGCACATCAGCTCACATATGAAGCCTAGAAAGCGTTGTAAGCGTTGCCCATTTTCCCACCACAACGTTACTACACAAACACTACTTTCCTCACCACATTATTCTAAGTACTAACGCTTCCTGGGCAAAACTAGGTGCCGGGCACAGTGCTGAGTGCTCTATATGTACTAATTCATTGAATCCTCACAACCATCCTAAGAGGCAGATTCTACTATTATCCCCATTTTACAGAGAGAAAACCCAAGACTCAGAGAGGTTAAATAACATGCCTGGGGTCACATGACCTGTGACTAAGAGTGGGGATTTGAACACAGGAAGTCCAGGTCCAGATCCCACTGCTCAAGTCCTGTGTTGTAGAGCCTTGTCTGTGTTAGGAACACTGGAGGAGTAGGATATCAGTTATCTGATGCTTACAGTAATGTCAGTAAATGCCATATGTGCAGTCGGTGGTGTTGCATTGCTGGTCTAAGCAGGGTTTAATTTAACCAACTGAAAATAAGAGAGGGTGCATTCAAATTGGGAGAGAGTAATCTCTGGTTTTCAAAAGAGCTGGAACACATCTTTTAGAGTTTTACTTTGACACTTGCATATCTATAAGTAAAATTGGCCTCAACTTTTATATCTGGCCCATTCCAGAGTTCTATCTACAGTACTTGTCCACATGATTTGATTTCTGAGAGATTATCTATCTATCTATCTATCTATCTATCTATCTATCTATCTATTTATCTATCTAGCTACCTATAGATAAATGATGATCTACAGCACTGCATACAGAACATAACATTTATATTTATAGGTGTTCATCAGTAGTCAGGCAATACCTACCAATAACCAGCACAGTAACCCTTCTCTTTTCAAATTGATGCTTTCTTAACTTGTTGAGGCTTTTAACCTATTACTGTGCTTATTAAGTCTGGAAAGTGATAATTTGCACTTGTATTTATCCTTTTGTTCTAAGCCAATCACTGTTCAGATTGTGATAGAGATGCCAGTTGTTAGGGGCGACTATCTCTTCTCTCCTCTTGATGTCTCCCTTCATGTGAAGGGAGCTCTGTACTGTAGCACTCCTGGCCTTTCTGTGCTCCTTTGCCCACTCTGCTGCAGGGAAGGTGGAGTGACTACTCTGGTTGGTAATTGGGAAGAAGAAACTGGGCACGCATGGCTTAGCTCCTCTTTTTTCTATTGGGAACAAGCTTTCTAAAGGAAACAGGGATTCTACTCTGCTCTTCTGCATCACAAGTCTTATCTAGAAAGCCCTATAGAGTGTGTTCTGCTTGGCCCAGTAATTCCTGTGACTGAATGGGGAAGTCTACGTAATTCTGGGGTTCATCTAGCAGACCCCCTGTGCCCTAATACGAAGTTATATCTTCCAATTTAGCCCTTATCAGATTTAAAGGTAATATTTAATCTCTTGTCTGCCTAACTCTTTTGTTATATTTCTCAGTTTGCTCAGAATCCAGGAAGGGAAGAGAGGTCCTCCCAAAGACCCCATTATTGATCACTACCCGAGACATGTAACCCCTTTCTAAAGGAAACTGCTCTGCCCACAGCCCCTGCCTTGGACACAGCCATGGTATATGTGTATATGGCAACTTGACCTTGACCCCATCACCAGCTCAAGGCTAACCTAAGAGTAGCCACCTGATACCTGGCCCCATGACTCTGTGGCTGGACTTGAAAAAATGAATTTGTTAATCTGAACTAAGAAAAGTAGAAAGAATTTGCCAGTAGTTCTAGGATGGAAAGAAGCAGCAAGTGAGTAGCTAAGTCATATTTATGGGCAACATCAGAACCAACATCCAAGAATGATGGCTCTGAATCCTAATCTACTTCTCATGAGTGTCGTTTACTTAGAGTTACAGGTCTCCTTTACTGTCCCATGTATATCTTTATGATAATGTACACTCCATTTTATGAGTTAGTGCTAAACTAAAATGCTCAAAACTCCTATTGAGGTTTGTCAAATAAACCACCAATCGGAAAAACACAAGTTTTAAAATGAGAACAATTCAGTCATTTGACATTCATAAAATATGAATTCAAAGATGGAAAAGAAAATTGATGGATTTATGTATGCTCAGCTCTGCTTAATAAAGCCAGCCTCTGATCCAGAGTCCTTCCTGTGGTAGGTGCACATAAATAGCCGTTTGGTTTGCAACCTCAGCTGCTACCTGCAGAAGAACTTGCAGCTTCTGCCACCGCCAGGCTCCCTTAAACCTTTGCTTGAAAAGAGTAACCTTATTCCTTTCACCCTGCTCATGGCCATGTACCTTGGAGGATACTCAGCAAGACACAGTGAGTCCCCTCTCTTTGACGTTGCATGCTGACGCATGCTCGATGTCTGCTCTCCCTTCTCATAGGTACCCCACTTCGGTTTTGGGGGACCTGTAGTACCTACTTGGGATGCAATGCTTAGAGGCAGGCTAGTCTCCCGAGGTGATTCTCCACCCTTTCCTCCCTGTAGTACTTTGTAGCACTATCTAGCTTATGAAAAATGTTCACACACATTATCTCATTTAAATTTATGGTAACTATAAAATCTAAGATATGAAAACTGAGGCGAAGAGATTAAATGACTTTTTTTTTTTTTTTAAAGATTTTATTTATTTTATTTTTTCCCCCCAAAGCCCCAGTAGATAGTTGTATGTCATAGCTGCACATCCTTCTAGTTGCTGTATGTGGGACTCGGCCTCAGGATGGACGGAGAAGTGGTGCCTCAATGCGCACCCGGGATCCGAACCCGGGCCACCAGCATTGCAGCGCGCGCACTTAACCACCAAGCCACAGGGCCGGCCCATAAATGACTTTCAAAAGCTACAAAGTCAAAAGGGTCAGGGTCATGAAGGAAATTGAGCCTCTATTTTTTTTGTTGTGGTAAAAAACACATAACTTAAAATTTACCATCTTAACCAGTTTTAAGTGGACAGTTCAGTAGTCTTAAGTATATTCACAGTATTGTGAAAGAGATGTCCAGAATATTTTCATCTTGCAAATCCGAAACTCTGTACCCATTAAACAATTCCCCTTTTCCCCCCTCACCCAGCCCCTGGGAACCACCATTTTACTTCCTGTTTCTATGAATTTGACTATTCTAAATATCTCATGTAAGTGGAATCATACAGTATTTGTCTTTTTAAGACTGGTTTACTTCACTTAGCATAATGTTCTCAAGGTTCATCCATCTTATAGCATGTGACAGAATTTCTTTCCTTTTTAAGGCCAAATAATATTTCATTGTATGTATATACCACATTTTGTTTGTCTGTTCATCTGTTGATGGACATTTGGGTTGCTTTAATCTCTTGGCTATTGTGATAGTGCTGCTATGAACATGGTATGCAAATATCTCTTCAAGACCCTGCTTTTGGATATATACCTGGAAATGAGATTGCTGAATCATATAGTAATTCTATTTTTAATTTTTCAAGGAATCTCCATACTGTTTTCCACAGAGGTAACATCATTTTACAATGGAACAGTGCACAGTGTTCCAATTTTCCTGCATCCTTGGCCTACACTTGAGGAACTCAGGCTCTTGAGGGTCAGTTTTTCTTCTGCTTTCCCCCTATGGCCTGATCAGGGTGATTTTGAGCAGTGCCTATTCTGGGCATAAGAAGCTGGTTCTTCAGAGCTAGGGCTAAACTCACCAGTCACTATGTCCAAACAGTGGCTCAAAGGAACCCATATTCTCTATTATGATGAGAAAATTCTAAGAAAAAAAAAAGGACAAAAAAATGAAACAATTGAAAAGAGCGTTCCTGTTATGTATTTAAAAATAAGAGAAAGAAAAGAAAACTTTCCAGGAGAAGGCCTTTAATTTCAGTGTTTTGAAAGTCTCTAGTGACAGTTGGTGCCATGAGAGCAAATTATGATTTGGTGATTAGCTATCAGAGCTGGAGTTATTAGAGACAACTCCAACTGGGCATTCCTCAGACCAAGCTGTAAGGACACTTTACAAGTCCAGTGCAACCCTCTATGAGGTGGTCTTCCTGAGTTGAGGAGATGGAGCTTCTAGGAGTCTGGGGAGGCCAAGGTGGCCAGAGTTCACAGGGCAGAGTACCAGAAGGAGAGAGCTCTACAAAGCAACTTGTC